TAGATGTTCTGCCCAAAAAGGTTGGGGGGTCCTTGGGTTTTATTTGGACGTCAAACATCCCAGTCCTTGTATGGATGTGCCTCTCTGATTACTCGCTCTCTAATATAGTCTTAGTGTGGGAACTAGTAGATTGTGAATACCTCAACCTGTGTGATGTGTGTGACCTAGATCTATGTTGTCCTGGATGGGCAGCATAACTAGACTATGCAAGGGGCATCGTCTAATTGATGGTATTAGCAAAAATCTCTAGTTCCTGCTCCAAATATGGAGGTCAATTGTACATAATTGTTGCTGGTGGAACTGGGGGTCTGGGCAAAGTCTGCAGATGGGACTGAGAATTCCTTTGCAACTACTCTATAGCCAGGTCCACGAACAACTTATCGATTCTGGGTAGAGCATCATCAATCTGCCGAGTGAGCTGCTTGGTTGTCATCTTATATTCCCTCCTGAGCCTTAATTTAACATCTACATTCCTCTGCCTTTCATGCACCAATGCATTTTCCAGCTCAACGACTCTTTCAATATTGCTGGGAATATCCCTATGCATTGACAACATAGCAATCTTGGTCTACCCAAAAGCCTCCTTAATCTGACCCTCCAAATGGGAAACTGCCCTTTGAGATGTCTAAGCAATATGTTGCATCGTTGATGCCATCTGATTATCCAGCACATTTATGGCATGCACTATCTGTGCAGGTGTAACTGCTATCGCCTATGCAGCACGCTGCTCAAGATTTTGCATCTTCTATGTAGTTTCAGTTCTGGAGACGAAGCCATCTTCTGGGTTTCCCAAAACCACTGCCTCTGGCTTTGTCCCGGCAATCAAATCCTCTGTTGTCGCACCTCATATGCCGTGGTAATAATTCCTATATGTCCAATTCTTGTGACTGTCTCCACTACCCCGTCAATATGCTCCACACCATCATGACCATTTATCAGCTCATGCTCTACTATGATCCCACTCACAAAACTACTCCAATGAGAAACTAAATTGAGGCATAATTAATCAATGTATACTTGATCTTGGACTACTGAGAATCCACTGATTCCTATCCCCAAATAGTCAAACAATCTTTACCTCCCAACTTAAGTTATTCTACTTCTACTAGTATTCAGTAATCACTTTCACAAATAATTACCCCTAGTATTGTATAAGGTGATCTCTCGGTCCACCTAGTAATTCTCCAGGGGGGTGCATTTGTGGCTACTGAAAACTTAGTCCCGGTGTCAACAGAACAACTTAAGAAGATGTCCTCTGCTTGGGACGAGACTACTATAAGAAGGTCTAGGTTGGCTTATGGTACCCCCAACCTATCTAATATGCTAAGACTATTTGCAAGGATCAGTGAATGGTACAACCTTCCTAACCTCAGGTGGGCAATAGCCTCACCCTCTGACCAGTTCTAGGGAGATCCCTCCTCTAGGAGGTAGCAACTCTGGACCCAACTGGGCCTGCCTATTACCATGCTGAATCTTCTCCCCTTTCCCCTAGTCAGGCCCCCAATCTTGTGGCAGAGCGGTCTTGTTGTGACTCGCCCATAGTACCTGCAAGATAGATTGGCACGTGCAATACACTAAACCAAGCTTCAACCCTGTTGCTCTAGCACCCTAATAGGTTGCAATTAGGGTACTGGCCTTCTCGAGTTTGGTCATGGGTAGAATACTTGGCGTAGCTCAAATTCTAGTGTTGAATTCTCTGCAAAGTCTGTTTGGGATGCTCTGGTTTGGCGATTGCCCACCTTTTGCCCATGCCGCACACAATCGCCCTTTGCCAATTACCCCTCGTTGGCTCTTTAATGCAGTGCATTACAGTGTGCCACACTGTAGCTCATAGCATGGCAATTCAGCCGTTGGTTGTGGCTGGCCGTCGCCATGGGTGTTGGAGGCTTCTCGTAATGCAGCCTTAGAGGCTGCGGGTCACTCTTTGGATGTTGCACCTGCTGCTCAGCTTCTAACTCCGGGTTGTTAGTTCTAAAACCAATTTTTTGTGGCTCTGAAGGGTGCCACTAGTTTCTGTAGCTTGCAGGGTCACCATGCCCTATGGCTCGACTGTAGCACATCCGGCCCTCTCCACCACAAATGGTGGGTGGTAATGGGGCGCTCATTCCCTATGATGCGCGATGGGCTCAGATGCGAAAGGGATCATTCCCCAGGGCCTGTTGTATGTGGCGGGTGGTGGCACAGCCAAGCAGTGGCTCGCTGGTCATGGAGATGCCAGGCAGTGAGCCAAGAGTCGATTACACGGGTGACTTGCATGCACCTATTTTAAGACCCGCATACGCGCGAGGCCCGATCGCGGGTCCCTCACGGTCACATCAAGATAGGATAACGTACAATAGTATGCAATATATTGTAATGTGTTATGCGCACGTGTCCCCACCCACCATTCACCTAAATCAACCCTGTGTAATCCCCGATGCTTTGACCTACTAGACCAAATCCTGTGCTAAAGTACTGAAACTTTAAATGGCTATAAATTTACAATTTCTACATGGAATCGGATGTTTTAGAAGGCTATCAGCATTAAGAGCTTCTAAACAAGCCGATTTTTATTTCCACTTTTTTGACCAACCCAAGCTTCAGAAATGTTTTTTTTGGCCTACCCCCAAGTAAAATCACCACACAATCAGTTAAGAATTGAGGAAGTTATGGCCTTGTGAAATTGTAGTATTAAAAGGCCCTAAATAGGGACAATAGTCAAGGTGTCAAGGGAAAAGGCCAGTTGATTATGGGTGGAATAAAATAGGGATGAGTGTTTGGACATGCACATGAGTTGTTTTATTTTAATGTGATAGCAATGGGCCTGTAATTGGGCATCACATATGCGGACATGTGCATGCAGTGCATGTGCCACATATGTGGAACTATGTTACTCGATTGTGGCCCATTCTCTGGCCTCCCACGAGCTAGCAAGCCAATCCCTCACTATGCTACCATCTCTCATATATAGCAAACCCCGGGGATTGATCCCCTTTGAGCATTGGGCCTACGGTGTGACCAAAGAATCGACTGCCTCGGATACGCCCACCATCCAAAGTGGAGAGACTGGCAAATCTCCAATGGCCATGTTGCATGGTAGGACGACCCCAACGCCTCCGTAAAGTAATGGTCACCGACAGGGCCACAACATTATTGAACACATATAAAACACATGTAAAGGTGTAGTCATGTTTACAATTTTAACAGCAAGCCAATCCACCTAGGTTATGTTCTAATCATGGTCAATCCTCTGCTTCTTTTAGCACCAATAACATAGCCTCCACCTTGCCCTCAGTAAAAGCAATGACGCCGTCAAGCAAAAGGTCGTTGCCTAGTCAAGCACATCTACCTACCACTCTCTGGCCTCACTAAGCCTGTATGTACTGTCTTTATATATACAAAGGCTCGTATATGATGTATTTTACGCCCATATAAGCATAGAGCATAAAGACTACTCTCTAACTTATAAATATGCATTCATAGTCAACGGGATACTTCGTCCATCCCAAATTAAATGACTTGTTTTCAGCATTGTTCTTCACCATAAGATGGTGTCCCTTTCCCTTGGACTTTACTTGCAGCAAGCCACATGAGTATAGAGTATGCTCTCAAAATTTCAAATGAATCCCCTAAGTACAACGTAAATGGTGTCAGTTTTTATCCACGTCACTCACCCCTCAAAACCCCCGACAATCCACAGCTTCTTGGAACGCGGTGTTTTCTGGTATGGTGAGGGCCGCCCCTTCGAGAGGGCGAAGCACCGCTGCTCGCGAAGAGCTGGCCATGCTGATCAGACTGAAGGTGAGCGCGGTCATTGTCAAGGCCCAGGGAGCAGCAAAACGTCTTTGGAACGGCCTGATCAAGCATGTGCGTGGCCTGATCAGTTGTTTGGAGGCTGTAGATGACCAGGCTTTTGGGGGGGTGAGTGACGTGGATAAAAACTGATGCCAATCACGTTGTACTCAGCGGATTCATCTGAATTTCGATAGCACACTCTGTACTCATGTGCCTTGCTGTGAGTCAATTTTCAGGGAAAACGGAAGGCATCTTATGGTGAAACAACAGTGCTGCAAACAATTGGATCACTTAATTTGGGACAGAGGAAGTACTTTGCATGTCAACGCGAGGAAAAACAGCTTCAGAATCCCAACTCTTTTACCCCCTCGTGGCAAGCAGTACTGTTTCTCATCTTGTCGTATGTGAGCGCCTCTCATCTTTTATCATGCGTTGCACTGTGCAGTGCACACCTTCGTCGACGCTGGCGTCGACACATACTGCAACACATACGACAAGATGAAAGGCGCTCACGTGCCTTTGGCTGCTCGCGTTTCGTCCTCATCGTAGGGCTTCAATCCCACCGCAAAGTGCCGGACGGCCGTTGAGCACAGTGACACTCAGCGAGGCAGCTTTGCATGTCAACGCGAGGAGGTACAGCTTCAGAATCCCTACCATATTTTACGCCCTCGTGACAACCAGCGTCAACGAATGGGCGCAGCAGACGCGACAGGGTGACAGGCGCCCGCGCGTGCCTGGGGTTCTCGTCCCCCCCTCGTCATCATTGAACCCCTCCACGAAATGCCTGTCGCGCTCTCACCACGAGGCCTTCCGGGATCACGCCGCGCGGTCACGGGGCAGCCAAGGCACTCAAAGCGCTCTGAAGCTGTGTGGCCGGCACACAATGTTACCACACACCGGACGGCATGCGCACGTCACCCTACGGTATGCCTGATGCGCCCTCCCCCCGCTGCTGTACAGCCGTGGACGCGCGGCCATGGCGGGCCACAAGGGGGTATTGCCCGTTATGCCGGGGTTCTGGAGGTCGTGCTGAGCCGCAGACTGGCGGCCGCTGGCCAGGCTCGCGTCTGTAGGTCCCAAACTCGAGCGCGCCAAGCCCAACGCCAGCCCACCCTTGCCCGGAGGCATACCGTGTGAGGGTCACGCCGTGCGGAAGCTTGTGGCGGTCGATCAGTGCTGTGCGCCGATATCGGCCCGCCGTTGTTGGCAAGTGGCACTTGAGGCGGATGGATTCGCAAGTGGTGGAGGGGATGGGAGTGTTGGGACGGGAGGGCTGCGCCGGCTGGAAGGACCCGGCTCTGGTGGGAGCCTCGCATGTGACCGCGCCCGGCGACGGCGCCAGCGGATCCACGGGAAAGAGTGACCCTTGTCTGGGGCACGGATTATCGGCTGATGGGCAGCCCGGCCCCGGAGCTGCCTTGCTGGGGTGAGCGGGGGCGCGTGGGATGAAAATTGCTCGATAGGGGGGCATTGGGCCCAGCTGTTGGTGATGGCCAGGGGAAGAGGCGTTTACGGCAGAGCCATGCCCGTGCGATTAGCTCAGTATTTCGTTGGCTCAGGGGAGGAGAGTTGCCAGGTTTGGCGCCACTGGTGTGGGGAGGGTGATCGTTTTGAGCGGTCGAGTGGCCGGGCGTGCGCCCTTTTCCACCTCGAGACGGCCGTCGGGATCGCCGCGGCCGAGGCGGACGGGTAGTGGCGGGTGGCGCGGCCTGGGGCGCCGTGCCGTTCGGGGGACCAGCCCAGCGAAAGAGAAGGCGTGTCGAGAAATTCGACTTGAAACCCGTCGCGCTGAGCGCCCGCCGCGCATCAATCGCGTAGTCCGTGACCGACCACGCGATCGCCCATCGTCAACCCATCTCCGCTTGTCAGTATCCTCTTTCTCCGTTCCTTTTTCACGCTGTTTTTTGACATGCTGTTGCCGTGTGGTCAGGGGAGAGGCAGCAGTGAGCGAGATCGCTGGAGGCCAGGCGCAGGGGGCCGTGCAGGGAGGGGCCGGCCACGGGAGCGCTGGGCCCGCGGGGTCGGATGGGGGAAAGGGCGGCGGCGACCGGCGCAAACCGAGGAACCGAGACGCGCAGAAGTCGTTCCGCATGCGGCAGAAGCAACGCATAGCGGACCTGGGCAGCGAGATACGGCGCCTGGAGGAGAAGGTGGGGGAATCGAAGCTCCGGGGCGCGACGTCCAATTGGCGTTGGGCCAAGTTGCGTTGCGCCAGGCGCCAACGGAACCCGAAAGCGGCGCCACGGCGCTCTCTGAAGCGCAAATCGCGGCGTCCTGGCGTTCTTTGCAAGTTTCTTCGTCGCAGTGCTGCGGGCGGTGGGCTTGACGTGGGCTCAGCGCAGGAGAAGGGCCTGCGGCTGTCGAGCGGGGCGTCCGCCCCCGCGGAGCCGTCGGTGGCGACCGTGAAGTGCGAATCCTGGCGTTCATTCGCTCTCCGTATGTGTTCTTGTACGATTGATCCGTCAACAGGTGTCAACCGACACCACCATTCGTACATCGTACCACCGGCGTCGGAAAGGATGGAGAATATATCAGCCCCCCTCCCAGTTCCGTGAAGATCCTTCTTCTTCCGCTGACAAGGCCAACGCCGGTCAGTGGATCAGTGGTTTTTAGGGTTAAGAGTGTCCGAAACAAGAAGGGGTCTTGACAGAAAGACAGAGCGACTAATTGGGTGCTGCAGGGATGCAGCGCCAAGTCAGCCGAGGGTCGGCGAAATGCCCTGTTTATATTCGCCAATCCCTCACAATCTTCTGTCAGAAGGAAACCCACGTCTTGGGGCGAAGAAGGGAGCCCCAGGCAACGGCGCGCTGTGCTCCTTGTGCAATGGGGTGCCCAATCAAACAGACGATAGAAAAGTAAAAGAGCCATCTTCGGTGGCGGACAACATTGCGCTGGTAAAATCTTCGCATGCAGGTTGCATTTATCCAGATGCGCAACTACGAAGTTGAGATGAACTCTTATCTATAACGATGAGAATTTAGTTCTCAGCAAAAGCACATTGATTGGCTCGTAGTGAGTTGAAAAGCGCCCCACCCGTCCATATGGAGCCAGATCCGTGAAACGATGTTGCAATGGCACGGCATGATGCACAGTGGCGTGGCTGTCTCCACTCAGCCAAGCATCGACCGACCCACGCAAATGCCACGAATCTCTCACATTGCCTTGCGGCCACGATTTTGAAATTAGCAGCTGCGTTGCAGGCGCAAGACCTACAGGTAAAAAATGCCGAATTGAGGATGGAGAACGGAATACTCTGGGCCCATGTGCAGCACCAAGGCGGGCCATCCCGGCCCATTTTTGCCCAGAAGATTTTTTGAACGGCACTGTTTGGCGCCGATTTTGCCAGAGTGATCGCAGTGGCGCTTCCAAATGGATGCATGAGGGCATGGAATTTGTTCGCACCCGGAATCTACGAGGACATCTGCATTGCTGGTGATGTGGTCCTGGGCATCGCCATTTTGCATCTCGGCATTGTCGTTGAATGCGCTCAAGTCCTTTTTGCCGCGAGAACAAAGCCAGGGGTGAGCGCATGCGTGCGTCTGTGAATACGCCTTTAAGCTGGAAGCCTTGTGCCGAGGTGATATTCAAGAAATCACTCAATGCGTTCCTTGCATTAGAAGGATCCTTGCGGTGAGTTGGAGCAATATTTGGATATTTTGCAGTCGGGATTCCTGTTCATAGAGACTCGGGCATGTGTGGCAGTTTCACAGCTTTTTCAGGGGAAGGAATAATCCTTTTAGGCTGCGGAGTTGAGAGAAAGGAGGCCAAAAATATTTTAAAGAATGTTATATTTTGTGGTTTCAGCACAGGAGGCATTAAAGTGACCCTTGGACTGCGCGATTCAATGTGCCTGACACCCTCCACACAACCAGCACCAGTAAACTGTTGTTGCAAAACTTGCACTGGCGCAGTGCGAATCGAGTAATAATCTGCCCGGTGTTGTACGTCTCTGAGATGTCGGTTTTGATTCTGCTGGAAGCGGCACCCATTTGGAAAATCTTGTTGGTGACGAATTCTCAAGCTGCACATCGGCATGCCGCAGTGTATGCCGATCACGGCAACAAGGTATATTGGACATCTAATATAATTAGACAAGTTCAGGCTGTCCTCCGCCAGGTGGTGGCGCCGCATATCATTCTGGCGTTCTGTTGCTGTCTCGATCCAATCGATTGCCTTGAGTGGATGCGCACTGAGGGCTGATAGAGGTGGCTTGCGAACGCCAACACCACCCGCTGGGGGGGCATATCGACGTGCGGCGCGCCACCACTGCCAGAGCAGCGGGTCGTTCGGCATGTGGCAAATGCCGGTCCGAAACGGTTGGGAAGTCGCAGCCTCATCTCCGCCTTTGCTCCTGCGCTGGTCAAGCGAGCGCCCATGGAGGCTGATACGGGTTTTACACGTAGAAAAGCGTACTCAGAGAAACGTCCTTTTTTACGGCCATGTTTACACGTATTTTAGGATCGCCGACACGCCCAGATTACATGGTGCTGTCTGGAACAGTAATAAGTCCTCCAACCCCTCGATCACCTGCAACGCAGCGCCCACCTCGCACTCGGCAAGCGCCATGACGTCGTCGAGCAGAAAATCGTTTTCCGAAAATTCCATCTCGTCTAGTTACCACCCCCCAGACTCCTTGTACTGCCTTTAAGTACATAGTGCCCATTTTTACGCATTTCTACGCGTATTTATGGACAAAGACCTAGAATCCATTTTTACGTGTAAATGCCGTAAATGGAAACGCGTTTGCGCCGTAAAGACCAAACCTGCCTTAAAGATACAAACAATGTTCTTGTTTGAATCCAGGCTGTCAGGATGCAATTTGCTACTTATGAACAACTTGCATAATCTCATAGGAAGCGCGCATGATGCATTGCCCAAATGACGCCTGCGAGTCATTATATGATACCACTGCAACTTGCCCTCCTCATGATTGTACAAATCATTCAAACCCGGTGCGCCAGGCCTCGCGGTTGGAAGCCGGTTCAGCAGCCACGGCCACTAGATCTGGAGTTCCTGCTCAAATCCTTTGACTACATTTGTCATATAAACATGACAAAACACAGCCCTTGCACCTTAGAGGCGATGTTAGGCATGAATTCCAGACCGGTGTTTGTGATATCTTCGCATGGTTTGTTCACGTCACGTAGAATCCCCCCCCCAGTCCGGAAACCCTGCCATCTCCCAAGAGAAAGTAATCTCATGTCCCATCCCATTGTCTAGTGTGGAGTTTCTGCAACACACGAAGATTCCAGATGCATGCACCTGGCAGAATCCGCCACACCCCCAATGCTGTTGCCGAATTTTCTGTTTGCTACATCTTGGAAAGTGCGGCTTTGTTGAAGCCACTTGTCCATGCAGCCCTTCGGAACCGTGTGCCTTTCTACCACGCTGATTTGGATGGTCCCTTTCACCATTCGAATGGTGGTCATCTGGATTCGCCAGCCACGCGCTGCCTTTTGGGAAGATGTGTAAATTCAACCATTTTGAAAGCTGTGCAGTTGTGTGAAATCGTGCTAAAAACTTGTAATAATCGGGTACTTCGGATCACGGTTTCGCACGATTGCTAAAATCGTGCAGTTTTCAGCCCTATGTAGTACACGAAAGTAGCCCACCTTACCGCCATGAACAAAACGATAAAGAACACGGTTTTGCACGATTTCAACTGTGTACCAGCGTCAGCCGTGTACTTTGTGTTCCGTACATGATTGATACACGATTTTTACACGATTTTCACACCGTTTTTACACACATAACATGGTACACGATTTTCAGGATTGCGTACTTTGGCCGACGTCTTACAAGTGTTAGAAGGTCTAGCCAAGCTTAGAAGAGTGAGGAAAACCTTCGAATGCTGAAGAAAGAGCGATTCAACAGATTTTGATGGAGGAAGATCAACTCGCCAACAATATTGTTTCTCAATGGATGCATTTCTAGTTCAATTTGGTGGCTGGAATGTCTGTAACCTCCATTTGTTATACAGAAATGCAAAGAGCCAAATGCAGCTCGAACATATTGTGATATTGTGAAAAGGGGCCAATAATTTCAAGGGATAATTCAGGCTAACGTTGGGTGAATCTGTCGGATGCTTCCCACATGCAGCGTGCGAATTGTTGATAATGAGAAACTCAAACGCTGGTCATTAGAAAAAAAAGCTTGTGTTGGAGGGTCCACCACTGCATATTAATGCATCGTATGAAGGACGTCCATGAAGGAGCCGCATCATCGACCACACAATTGAGTTAATTACAAGAACCTCAAGTCTCCGAATTTCACTCTCATTAATTAATCAGATAGTGTGAAAGGGATCGGCCACTATGGAAGTTGACAGGGACATTGCTTTTATATTGCAAATTGTAATGTGGTCACTTGGGGTAAGGCTTAATTGGCACTTTCTAGAGTATAAATTAGTAATATCTGTAAATCGACCCTTTGGTTGGCTTTTTAGGAGCTCCTAGGCTCCTAATGCCCCTAGGCTTTTGAATTGCCAGATCTGTTAAGAGATGGCAAAGTTATGGTCCTGCAAAACTATAGTACTTATGGCTGTGGATGGATGGGGGTTTAATACTTAAGGTAGTTGGGAAAAAGGGTCGATCATGGGTGAACGGGGGATGGTGATGATGTGCCTGAATGTGCACTCAAGTTATCTTGTCTTGATGTGACAGTGATGGAATTGCGATCTGGCATCCTGCATGCAATAAGTGCGCACGCATGTTGTGGATCCGTGTAACACATTTGGCCCACTCTCTAGCCTCCCGCGAGCCAGCGAACCACCGCCATGCTGCGCCGCCACCTCTCGCCAACAGTAGGCCCCGGGGATCGATCCCCATCGAGCATTGAGCCCACCGTGCAACAGCGCGTTCGACTGCCCCATATATGCCCACCGTCCAAGGTGGAGAGAGCCGGCTCACCTCCAACCACCGAGCTGCAGGGAAGGACGACCCCAACGCCTCCGGAAACTAGTGGCTGCCAACGGGGCCGCAACACAGATGGTATGAGTGTGGAGTAATATCTGTTTAACAATATTATTCCACGTTCGCACCATCCCATATGGAAATGTAAACACCTTCTATGAAGACGACTTTATTACAAAACTTTCATTTTGGGTGATCTGCGGAGAGGTTTTGGATCCACTTTGCAAAGTACAATTGGA